CAAAATCGCGGTCGACGAAAGCGCGTATGTGACGTCATCACATCGAAAAAGATCGAAAAATGTAAAAATAAAGCTAAAACCTTCCCCTAACCCCCCCAAACCTAAACCTAACCCTAACCCTAACCCTTAACCTAACCCTTACCTTTATGTGAATCGGCTTGCTGTAATTTAATTTTTATTTTTACATTTTTCGATCTTTTTCGATGTGATGACGTCACATACGCGCTTTCGTCGACCGCGATTTTGTCATCCGCGGTTTTGTGGTAGAACCCTATACCATAATGGGGCAAACCTTAACTCAGTGTCCTGGGGCTCCAATACAGAAATGCAAACCAAGAACCTTTCTCCTTCTGCTTCTCTGTTATGGGTAGAATTGTACTGTTTTTTTTTGCATGGATTGTCACTCACCTCCAAGGTTATGGGGAGGAAGAGGTGAATAGAGTCCATAAAAGCTTTTTCCCTTTTCTCCCCCGTGCCTTGTCTCCTCCATTCACCCATGAATTAACACACAATTTTGGAACAATTTCTCCAAATTCTCTTGTATGCTTGTTCCATTAATTCATTCCTGAATTCACCTGGGAACTGATCAGTCAGAGTCAGATCACTCCATCACATATCCCTAACATTTGACACACTCTCTCAAACTCTGTGGTTGCCTTGTTTCAGCTTGCAAATCTCTCCATTTCCTGTTGCTGTCCTGAATTATTAAATGCAGCTATATGTTTTTGCATGCAGCTCTCATACTTATCCAGCAACGGATCCATGCCTTCAATGACACTCAGAACAAAAGCTGGAATGATCTGTAAAAAATTATGTTTGCTGACATTCTGTAAACAATTTACAATGAGTTGTGAAAGTCAGAAACTGGTTCTGGGTTCTTCCAACTTCTCCAGAAATCTCTTATGAGAGTGAAAAAATACCCTTGGGCTCCAGCTATTAAGCCACTCCTGGCTGAGCAGCAAGCTGTGTCGCAATTGCAGAATTATTTGTACTGTTACCCACTTGCTGTTGAAGTTGTTACAATGTTTTAGCAGGTTCTACTGCAACCTTGAGTTCCTCAAAGATAAACTGCCATCTCCATAATCAAAGAGAAGGCCTGGTGTTTCTCTGAATAAAGAATAGGAAGCTTTCAAAACTGATACTAGCTCTTTCACGTAGGCCAGGAAGCAGACACCACAGAACTACTGGAACTCTTCTCTACTGTTGGAGGGTATAACAACAGACTCTTGAAAGCCTTACTAAGTTTCCTTCTCCATCCTCTTATTCTAAAAAGAATCAACGTGGGGTTATTTTGAGTTTCTCATCCTTTCCTCCTTTCCAAGTCTAAGCAGAGTTTACTATTTTTGCATGCCTTCAAGGTTAGCTCTGTATTCCCACACAAAGTGCAGTTAAAAGTTTCTTCTTGGATTTTCTTAAGCAAGGTTTGGCATCAAAGTCTCAGCAGGACTGTTTTCCTTCGCCGGATTTAACCTCTCTGGTTCACTTACCCTGGTGAATTTGTCTTAGGTTTCTACTTCTGTGAAACGAGCGAGCTTGAGGCTCATAAGTGTTCCCTCTAAGGCAGTGGTTCCCAAACTTGGCAACTTTAAGACTTGTGGACTTCAACTCCCAGAATTCTCCAGCCAGCAGAGCAGAACTGGCTGGAGAATTCTGGGAGTTGAAGTCCACAAGTCTTAAAGTTGCCAAGTTTGGGAACCACTGCTCTAAGGAACAGCCTCCTGCTGGAAATTAAATCGGCTCCCACATTACTGACCTTTTTAAAGCTTCAAAAACCTGAATTGTTTCACATTGCCTCAGGGGGATGGGAAGATACCTTTGGTTTATGTTGTTATTATTCCTTGATTTATTTTGATCTTATAGTATGAATATTTTATTATATATTATATTATTTTTATTAAACAATATGTGATACTATATTGTTTATTGCTATGTGGTCTGAATGCAGTGGCAGGTAAATATCTAATAAACAAATAATAATAATTCCATTTGTCCAACAGAGTTTACATACCCAAGTGATTATCTGACTTTTAATACCACCGACAAAATGCACAGTATGATCACATTAGAAATTATGGCAATTATGCTGTAGTTATATGCTGAAATTAATTCACAATAGATTGTCCCATTTTCTCTGAAAATGGTCAACAACCAAAGAAAAATGCTACCTTTGTCACCATTAAAAATGGTTTAATAGGCAAAAAAAGGGAGATCTTACAGAGAAAACAGAGCTAGAAATCGTATACTGATCTACGGTATGTGAAATAGCGCAGCACTACATATATGTTGAGAACCGGTTTGGTATAATAGTTAAGGCACCAGGAGGACTGTGAATTTTAGTCCAGTTTTGTGTTTATACACAAAACCAGCTGGGACACCTTGGGCCAGCCACTCTCTCTCAGCCCTAGGAAGAAGGCAAGGACAAACTACTTCCAAAATCTTGCGAAGAATACTGTAGGGACTTGTCCAGACAGCCATCAGCAATCAAAGACATATTTATATGTCTTATTGAAGAACTGTCCTTTGCTAAGGCTAAGGCTAAGAATACTATTTTGTCAGGAATCAAAGTTTTAACATTTAATGGAAAGCTAGCTCTTAGAAATCATACGAAATGGACATACATGGCTTCAATTTCATCACAAAGTGGACTGCAAGTATTTTCAGTTGCTTTTAAGGGTGGTTCAGACAATGCCTTCCATTTCACACTTTTGTTTCCCCTCCATGTTTTCCTTATACAACATCAACAACAAAGAGTTGAGCAAGGCAAAACAAAATAAATGGACAATGCATTTTGATTTATTTGTCAACCTTCAGGGTATATTAAATCTCTTCCCTTAAGGCAGGGCTGTCAAACTTGGATGTGTCACGTGCTGGCCACGCCCATACTTGGTTTAGTGAAGGAGGGAAAAGTCGCAATATGTCACGTGACGGTGTTGTGACAACGCAAGTTCGATACCCCTGCCTTAAGGCATCTCTAAGAACTACGTGGGTGACATATTTGACTAGAATAGAAAATCTTTTTATTCTTCCATTTTAAGAATTTGAGGATTTGTATCCTCAGACTATGAAATAACCACTGGTTTCTTCTACTTAATGCAACATTTAGAAATTACAGCAATAAAGTAGCATATTTATCTAAAGTGGATGCACCTATTCTTCCACAAAGGCTACAATAGATATACATTTTTCTTGCACCAGTATCTTAGCAACAAGACAAAGGCATCTATGAAACTGTTTTTAAGGTCTTTGTCTACAATTGAGTATGCAAAGGCAAATTCTGAAGACAACAATTTAATAATACCCATTACTTGCAAATAAATAATGTGAGTTTTATGAATAAAAACCCCATAGTTTCTTTTTCCATAAGAAAAAAAATCAGTCATAAATGATGAATGTGTATGTATGTGTGTGTGTATATATATATATAATAAAAATAATAATATATACCATAACATCACAGAAATTCTGAGAGAGAAAAAATATATCTTTCTTTTCTGCCAAAAAGGTAACAATGGAAGAATACATGAAAGCATTTGTTTTTTCAAAATGAAGGCTGATTGATAGCAGTGTTGTCAAATGGAGACCTTTCTTTGCATTTTTGAAGATCCAGTGACCCCTAGTGATATTCTGGAAGGCCAACTGATGCCTGATGCAATGCTTGAGAACCACTGATTTGCATGACTGCTTCTACGAATACTTCTTTATCTTTCTTTATCATTGGTTTGCTATATTTGGGAAGGAATTTCCAGATTAATTGTTGTGCACAGCTAATTGTTGTTCTCTTACACAGAATTCTACCCAATGCCCCCCGTCCATCTCATGATACATACATACTAATATTAAAGATGTAATTCCGGAATAATAGCAGAGAAAACAACATTCGAACATCCTCTAAAGTTGGGATCCAGACAAGTCACACCAGTGCCTAGGAATAACCATGCCCAATAGCCAAATAACCAAAGATATTCCTCCTCTACCACAAAACTCTACCTCTGCCTATAATTTAAACAAATCAACGAAAATCCAAATGTAAAATGGTCTTTTTAATTACTAAATTAAGACAGTTAAACATTTAAAAAACAAACTTGCAAATAAAACAATAACAAAATGTAATTAAGATCATAGCATTATTTTAAAAAAAACTTAAAAGAGAAGTAGAAAGGACTGGAGTTTTTGTTTCTTTTTGGTTAGAAAGAAAGAAGGGAAAGAATTTAAGGTTGATAGAGACAACTGAAGAAGTAATATTTTTGTGCATCCCACTGCTCTCGTTTCCCAGGAAAGAAGTGCGTAGTAATTCTACTGAAACACTTGCAGACATATTGAAAGTAATTTCATTAGCAGTACAGGACATTTAAAACACCTATATAAGGATGGAAAATGATACACAGAAAAGATATTCTAGCTGAGCTTGATGAATGAAAAAGCATCTCAATATGACTAAAAGGCTATGAGGTTGAGACTATTGCATGGGGTTACAATGTTTATTATTTCTTTAAAAAATCAGAAAATTCAGTTTACATATTTTGATACACAAAAGCACTTGCAGTTTCAACCTTCCGGTCCAGGCAGGGGTACTTTTCATTAATTAAGTCTGTTTTAATTCTGACCCAAAATCAAACGACACACTTGGCAAATGTTGTTGAAATGTTGTACATGAGTTTTGAAAGATCAAAACTTACAACAACCTATGGGTATATAGTAAAACCAAAAAGTGCAATCCAATTTAAAAAGTCATGCTGGGCAAAAGCCAAATATTCAGTCACCGGTTTTAGAATCATCACCAGTGTTCAATGTCCCCAGGGAAATCTTTCCGGGTGCTTCAGCATTATGGAATCCGTTTCTGAAATGAATTTCCTTTAGCTATAGCACCTGTGGACTATATATACAGGTATGTATATATTTTACATATTTCTATATATAAAAAAAACCAAACCAAACCCCCAAACACTGGTCCTGATTTTATTTTGTTAGAACATGAAAAAATGTAGACAAAAAGAGGCCACTTCTGGAAAATAATACTTTAGTTGAATCAGGAGAAAACTAGTTAAAATCACATAATTCTGCATTTTTTTAAAAAAAGGAAAGCACTAGGATAAATTATTGGCACTGAATTACTATTTACAGTGAACAAAGATTTTGCAGTTTACATAACATTAAAACAATGCAGTTTCAAAGTCTTTGATTAAGAAACCCACCCCCCCATGTGTTCACCTTTCTGTTTGGAGAAGATATTCAGAATTTTAGGACACATAGTTTTAGAAGTTCTCATCTTCTGGCTTCAGTATATTTGGTGCTCTAAGATACTGCCTTGAACCATTCAACCTATGTCGATTGCAAATGGAACACCTGGTAACTGGTTTGCGCAGCCCACCCCAAATTACAGGTTATCACCTGGCTGGTACTGGGGTTCAGTTGCCGTAAAGTAGTCTTCCAGGAAACCCTGTAAGTACTCAAAAGTTGGGCGTTCTTCTGGGTCTTTTTTCCAGCAATGGATCATGAGCTCATGTAGAGAGATTGGGCAATCTTGAGGACATGGCATTCTGTATCCTCTTTCTACCTGTTCTAGGACTTCACGATTATTCATACCTAGGAAATATAAACAATGTTGAAGAGATGTAAAGCATATAATCTGAACAGGGTTGCAATATACCTTTTATTTGAATTTGGATTATTTATTTGGAAAATGGATATTTTCCCAATGTTAATGAAAGTTTTATTGGACAGGCATCCCTATCAACCACTGCTATGTCATGTGTGCTCTATGTAATTGATCCTAAATTATCAGGGGCACTACAATTAAAATCCTTAGAGGTATTAAAAGAGGAGAGGGCAGTTCAAACATGGTTCCAGTATGGGCAATTACAGGCCAGGTGGAAAATAGATCAAAAAATTGGTTTTGTCCAAATTGAGGACAACTTATTTAAACAAATAAGAGATCAAAGTTTAATGCATATAAAGAGGATATATAATGTATTAATACAGATAGATTCGTAAACAGAGTTAATTAAAGATTGTATGGTTAAAGTGGGCTCAAAATATTGAAGAACCAATAATGTTGGATACATGGGAAAAAATTATCCAACAATAATGTTGGATACATGGGAAAAAATTATCCAACAATAATGTTGGATACATGGGA